AAGTAAAGTAGGTTTAGTATTTTTTATTTAATTTATTTTTTATATCACTTAATTTATAAGTAGACATTCATCGGACTAATAAAAAATATGACAACTGCTGAGTACATATAAATACAAATATATGACTAAGAGTTGTGGGAAATATTTCTCGTGCATTAAGATATTCTTCATCAAATCCAATGATTGATTGACCTCTAATTTTGAATATCTCCTTGAGGTGGGAAATAGTCACATCCTCATGAGATTACAGAAAAAAATTTTTGTTTGCGAATAACTCAAATAGTATAATTTTTTCCTTCTTAATTATACCCATGCTTATTTGAAAGTTCACTAAATTCCCTATAAGGAAAAAAAAAAAAAAATCACCGTATTTAGAGCATTATTAGCTGAGGCTATTATTGTAAGTCTTAAAAATTTTGATTTAAAACATGAAGGAAGTTTTATGATATCTTTTTTTCCTTCGCACGGATCAACTACTATTTTTCAAAACACTTTGAGAAGGAAATTAACAATATTAACGATAATTTAAATTTGTTGCCTTCTCCATCTTGGATAGATTTGACTTTAACTTCCATGCAATCATTACACATAATTATCATTTTTTCAAGTATTTGAAGGGACTCTTATATTTCGGCCATTGTAGTCCTTCTGTAATGCGATACTCCTCCAAGGATGCCTTACTCAACGTTCTTCACTTAGCGCCTTGATGGTTGTTGACCAACTCTTGCTGCTGCGGGAGTTAGGCAACGGTTGAGATGTGAAGAAAGAGATTTGCAAATGGTTGAAGAATCCAGCTGATCAGTTTTCTCGACAGATGTCTGCCCAGCTGAATAGAGATTTTTCTTATTTTTTTTTTTTTAAAGTTAATGATTTATTTGGAGCTATGTACAGCTAATTTAAAGTTCTAGATTTCGTTTAAATTAATTATTTGTTTCTCCGAGCTCTTGGTTAATGGTGAAGATTCTTACATTAGGATTAATCAGGTCATAAGTAAACTATATCATAGAATGGGTACTTATAGAAATAGAAAGTTTAAGTTTGTAGTACATTGAGAAGTTCAAATATTTATAACTATAAACTTTTCTTTTTTTCTAAATACCCTCCATGGGGACATACAAGTGAACTTTAAAGTGTGAAATACATATTTCTCTACCGTTAAATTATTGAGTTCGCTTCTTTTAGCCAGAGTTCTGAAAGAATTTATTGAACTATTATTCTTCCCAATCTTCTTTACGGATGCTAAACGTGGCCGCGTACTTAAAGAGAGGAGTGGGGAGCGAATAATGCTTCAAGTTTTTCGAAAATAAAGCATTGTTCAGGATATTTAATCGGAAGAAGATTACTAATAGATAATTTATAATGCTACGCAGAAAAATAGGCTTAACTGAACCATTGGTAGACAACCAAGGACCAAGAAGTAGATGTGAAGATTGTGTTAGATCTGACCTTGTAGATATGGTCTGAGAGTGGGGGGGGGGGGAGAGGGAATGATAAATAGGCATCTCGAACCCCCGATTCTTTTATGTTTGTTGATATGTATGCAGTCAAATTAAAATATTATTTATAATGCTACATAACTAAACTATCAGCTGCAACCTATGGGCACTTATTAGGAGTTATAATGGATGTGAGATAACCGCATCATTAAAACTTTTTTTTAGTGATACTAGGTCGAAACATTTTGGACCCAATACTCTACGTACTGATACTAGGAGCTGAGAAAACAAATGTTTTATAAAATGTTAACATTTTACATATTATTATTTTTTTTTCTTCGCTCAGCATGGATTTCTAGGTTATAATATGTCAATCATTTTTTTTTCCTGTGCGTGTACAGTAAAAAAAAAAATACTGGTTATTTGAATTCATATAATAATAAATCACTAAAACTAAAAGAAACTCGCAGTATATTAGGCCAATTAAATCTTTCTTATGAAAAAGCTATTCACATTCGTCTCTAGCATCCTTTAAAATGGCTTTGTATTGAAAAAAATATGTATAAATTTTTGGGTTTAATTTTATTGGAGGAGTTTTCAAGCGGTTTACTAAAGCAATCAAAATTCCTCAAGATTTTTTTGTAAATCAACGTGTTCTTGACACAACCGTTGGAAAACTGATTTATTTTTCTTAAAAATCATATCAATAACTTTTAGATTTTGTTATGACGTTCAAACAGACTGAAATTTCTAGTCAATTTTAACTTTTCGATCAGAATACATTCAATTTGATGTTTTAATTGTATCATAAATGATGTATACAACATTTATCAGATACACATGTTTGCAAACTTATAAATTTCGTAATCGATAATCGGTAATGTAATAAACCTTATCTTCTTTGATAATCTGCCTTTTAGAAATGAGAAGTAATAAACAATACCTATATTAAAGCTACCGATAACCTTATTTTCTTCCTTTGTTTCCTTTTGACTGGTGTACATTAACCCAGATTTTTGTGCTTCCTGTATTACTAACGGCATTCTAATACCCCCTTTGAAAACTAATGTGTGTCTAGGAACTCCATTGTAGGTCAAACCTTCGGAACATGTAATCTGTCTTCTAGATCTAGAGTTTAGCAGAATTGAAAATAACACTTCACTTCAATCCTCTCCAGCTTATTTTAATTAACAGTTTTAGTTATTTAACAAATAGTTTTAATAATTGAAGAGAAGTTGATTGGTAATAGGTAAAAATAAATAAGTTGTATTGATTTTTATATGCTATGTGCTGACGCTTCAGCCTAAGTTTAAGGCAAAGCAAGGACAAGATAAAATATAATGTAAATATAACAACTACGTTACCCTATTTATTTTATTTTTACCACTTAGGATTTGTATTTCTTAATATTCCATTTCATTTTTCATTGCTTCATAATTTATAACAAATTATTTTATTGTTTACTTTTTCACTTTATCGCCTTTATTTTATAACTTTCTAAATTTTTATAATTTTATTTGTTATATTTTATAACTTTGTTCTGTTATTTCATAAATTCGTAACTTTACTACCGCTATTTTATAAGTCTCTGGTTTTGTTACTATTACCTTGTACTTCCTTAATTTATATTTAATTTTTATCCAACTATTTTTAGATATCTTTTCTTGATATTTATATTGTATGTTATCTTGTATTTGCTTAACACTAATGAAGGCCTGAAACTTAGGCCGAAACTTCGGCATAAAGGAAATAAAAATAAATATTATTTATTTATACATTCCATTTTGACTGAAAACCCCATCCAACTTCTCTTCAATTATTTATTTCAGTCAACCATCGATCAATTATCAGTAATAATAATGGTTTTCTTAGTGTATAACTAATTCTAATTTAATTATATCACTTATCAATAACAATTTATTTGTAATTGAAGAAATATATTAACAAAAATAAAAAGGATTTCTCTGAAATCACAGTTGATAAGGAAAAGTAGAAAGGAAAGAGAAGCTATTTGAGGAGGAACATATAAGGAAATTTATAAGGATTTAATGTTGGGCAACATTTTGACCTTCATCGGGGCCAAGTAAATAAGATTATACATTTCCATCCCTAAATGTTAAGAAAAAAAATGACTGCTTGTCCTTACAAGGGGGCACAAAAAAAATGTATGTGTTAAAAATATTTACAGCTAATTACATCTTAACAAAATCATACTGGTAGTCAGAATATAAGTTAACTTGGGCGAACCTTAAATCTTGTCTGGACCATTCAGATTTGATCAGTTTATTTATTGAATATTTTTATTCAATCCCAAAACCAGAAAATGTGTATCTGATGTCATAATAAAGGATAGTTGGCCATGAAAATGTTTTTATTAGACTTTTATTCTGCATATTTGGGAAATAAATAAATGTAATAAAGGATAGTTGACCATGAAAACGTTTTTATTAGACTTTTATTCTGCCTATTTTGGAATAAATAAATTTAAAAAATTCAAAGTTTCTTTTCAATTGTTTCCACTTATTTTAATCTTTAAATTCTAATTAGATAAAAATGATGAATGAATTTAGGAGTAGATACAAAATAAATCAAATAAAAAATACCCCAAAAAACAAAAACAAAAAATTTCACCCTAAAAGAAAACAGCCTGGCAATACTGCCTATTTCCAGATGATTCTTGCCAGCACTGCAAAAAAATCAAATATTGCAGATATTAGAATCACTGGAAGAAAAAAAAATTACATGGGAGAATACGAACCAATGAAATAGTACGTGTATGAAAATAAAAGAAAATATGGAAGCAAATGTAAAATAACTATTGGAAAATTAAATATGAAAAATTTAATCATATACTTACAAAATAAGCATAAAAATACAAATTGTTTTTTTTAAATACAGCTTCTATATATGTATAGGGAGTGGGGTAACTCAGTGGTAGGGCACTGAGCTTCCAATACAAAGGTCCCGAGTTCGAACCCCGGCTCATGGCAGAAAATTTATTTATCTGTTTCATTGGCCATGGGGACGACCTTGGGTCAGGAGTCCCTCCTGGGGCACACCCAGCCTCTATAAAGTGGGTACCCTTAATTAAATAATTGGTTAAGGGGGAAAACCTGGCGGTTGAGCGTGATCTCGGTCAAATCACCTCCTTGCACAACCGTTGACCTATAAACAGTGCTTTCCCTAAATAGTACTGAACCCCAGTCCCTTCATGGTTTGTAGTGGTACAGGTTTTTTTTCTATATATGTATGATTGCTTTTCATTTGTGGCGGAAATAGTTGACTGCAGATTTGGCTTGAAAGTTTGGTTTTTGTGACTGCAATTCACAACCACCTTTTTATTTATGCCTTCATATTTCAGTTTGCCTTATTAATACATATTCTGTCTGTGTTTATACTATTTGACCTGACTACACTCCCCATTTCTCTTTGATTACATCAATGGTTAACAATATACCTGTTTTTTTTTTCTATTGATAAGTTTAAGATATACTTATATTTCTTCCTGTTTAAAACTTTACTAAATATTATTTCATTAATATATATATTTTTTTGTTTTTGTAGGAGGCTGAAGAGAAGAGGAATGAATGCAGCGGAAAAGTTCAAGACGTGTTGACCGGCCAGCCGCTGGCTCTCCTCTCTTATCATGAAGCTCCTGCATACCTCCAGTTCAATCCTTACATTAGGCATGGCTATAGAGGTTTTTTGTCGACTAAGATGTGCTTTGAGAGGTAATTAGAAATACTTAATTAACTAGATGATTTATACTATTTTATTTATCGGCACTAGTACTTTTTTAATTTAAATTAATACTGTTGCTATGTTGCCCAAATATATGTCAGAAAAAGGTTAGATGTTAATCAGATGTATGTAACTAAAAGTTTTTATATCTATCTTACTGGAAGATTATAATAATAATATGTTTTTGTTACTATTACTGTTTTAAAAAATAATATGTACAGAATATATTTACAATTACAGGGAATAAGTCTTTTGAATAGTTGACTGACTTGACCTTAAGCAGGGAGTCATTGACATTTAGTTTTTCACCTATACTATTTCTAATTAGCTGCTGTTATGAATTAGTTGCAACTGAAAATTATTTGCTTAATGTTTGTATTTAATATTGTTTAACTAAAAAACAATAATCCTTAAATATGCTTGAATTTAGAGACAAATCAATAATAAGCCCCAAGGATTTCAATTTAGAATCTTCTAAAATTAATATTGTTATAATTTTTGCTTTTAGGATCATTTATTTTATATATTAAATTTTTATTCCGTGTGAAAAAAAGATGTATAATTATTTATCTCAAGAGTACACACCAACTCTTAATTCAGTTTAAATTTGTGAATGATGGTTAACTTAAAATAAAGGAAAATAAATTAAGCATTAAATAATTAGTTTTTACTTTGTTTTATTGAAAAATATATCAATTTATTTTTATGTTAAAGCATGTTCTGGTTGACAAACGAGACCGTAAATATATGGTCTCATATATTCGGTTGGATGTTGTTTCTCGGATTGACGCTTTATGATCTCTGCTTACTGAACATTCATGCTTCCTTCACGGATAAATTTATTGTTGGACTACTGCTCGCATGTTTTCAAGTATGTTTATTATTACATTTTTTCTATATTTTAATTTTTTTTCCATAATATTTCTAATTATTTGTATTTATCATTACATAACTTTCTCCATAATTTTAACCAATTATTAAACTTCAAAAAATATTTATAATTATTCATGTTTTTGATCGAATTTATTTTACTAGAATGAATAAACTGTAATCTATTTTCCTACCTTTTTGAATATTAATTATATTAGATAAAGTTAATAAGATATATTATGCTATAGTTTATATATTATATTGTTATTTAATAATAGTTATAATACTTTAATATTTATTAAATTATAATATAGTTTAGCTTTGATGATTAGTTTCAAGTAAAAGTTTCAAATTAGTTGTGTTTTTATTTTTTTTTTAAATCCATACTATATCATTTTTTGTTTCAGATATGCATGTTGATGTCTGCGTTGTATCATATTTTCTCTTGTCGCTCCGAAGAGCACTTCAACTGTTTTCTATCTTTTGATCTCTTAGGGATTGCTCTAAGCATGCTTGGTATTTATATGACGGGAGTTTATTACGCTTATTGGTGTCACAAGGTAATGATGAAGAATCAAATGATTTGCTTTATATTATACATCTTAATATATTTCTTTTATTTATTGTTTTATTTAAAAAATATTACATGCAAAATCTAATATACAGATAGTTAATAGACAATTTCACTACTAACTATAGATTATCAGTAGAGGGTTTGATAATTTGTCTTTGCATACATAATTGTATGCTCTGATACAATATAGGGTATTGTTCAAACTTTCAGTCAAAAAGGTTCCGTCCCTCTTTTAATTTAATACAAGTTTGTTTCACTTTTTGTATTTATTATAGTTAAAATACATTCATTTAACTCAGGGCTCTCCAAACTTTTTGGTCCGCGGGCCACATTAAGACCTCCACTAAGTTCCACATGAACATTGAAGCCTCCAAAAAGTCCAATGGGGCCATGGCTTGTAATGAATGAATGACATTTCAGTCGTCAAATGAGCTTCCTAAGAGAAACAAATCATACAATAAATGTTGTGGAAAAACCTCCTGTTTGAGTGATTTACTAAATTTCGTATTTTTAAATTGTTTTAAAATTTTACCATGTAATCAAAGAAACTTTTAGGGGTCAGTTCCGTCCCGTTGACCATAGTTTAGAGACTCCTGATTTAACTGAATAATAAAAATTGCTAGTCTCAATTAGGAGTTTTACTCCCTTTTGGAATTGAAAACAAAAAAATTAATAAATTAAAACTTAGGTATATAAATATACATATACACTTTAAACAGTAATAACAGAATTGCATTTAATTTTGTTTTCTTTTTTAGGGTTGGCAAACATTTTACCTTAGTACTGTGTTAACTATATTTTTGATAGCAATGTTGTTACAAGTTCCTAAATTCAATGTTGATTCAAATATTAAGTTATTCACGTTTGTCGGATGGGCTGCTTATGGAGTTGTTCCATCCTGTCATTGGACCATAATGATGGGAGGTCTTGAAAATCCTATTGTATCGGTAATATATATTTGTTTTATATATTATAAAATGTTATATATTACCTTATATATATATTTGTTTTATTATATATTAAAACCTGATATTCTCTTCAAAATATTATGAATAAAGTAATAACAAATAATTTTAAAATGTCATGTTTATATTGATTAAAGTTTGATCATAGAATATTGACTCTTTATATTCTAAAATATATTATTATTGGTTTTCCTACAACTTTTCCTTGAGGTTACAATTATAAAACATTTTAGTGTTTGGAGTCATTGATCACAGTTAGTAAAGTAGTATTATATGTTTGACTTATCCAAAACTGTGGCATATTAAATGCTAAAGAGGAAGACAAAGTATTTCTGAAATAGTCAAATATATAGACATTGAACACTATTGTTTTTTATATATTTTTATTATGTTCAATAGGCAAAGATGGAGGGAAAATAGAATTTAATGAAAGGTCAAGGATAAGAATTAATTATTATTATTTTTTTTTTACAGCTGCTCCTGCCGAGGGTAGTTATGATGTACATCATCATAGGAATGGCATTTACAATATATATTACTAAAATTCCAGAAAGGTTCTTTACAGGTATTTATTTTACATCTTAATTATATTTAATTGTAAATTAATAGAACTTCAGGTTTTTCTCCACTTACTTTTTGTTTATAAAAATGCTAATTTACGTACTGTAACTTTGGACTACTTGAACCCAGTAATGGTTTACTTGGACCCACCAAAAAAAAACATTATAAATTATATCTAGGTATCTTCATATCAAAATATAAATTTTTTGTTGCTGTTCCTGATTATTCCCTAATTGCAGTAGTAAATTTCGGGTATTTGAATCAGAATCATTATCTATGACTGTGATAATCTATTATTTGTATCCCGTAATGAAAATTGTTATCCTATTTGCTGCAATCATTAGTGATAATTAAAATTATCAAATGAGAAGGAGTTGATCGGGGAGAGGGTACTAAATTATACAAATAGTATCATTTAAGACCTGCAAAGTGGGTCAAAATGTCGGCAAGAATTAAATAATAGTATTTGTATAATTTAGTATTTATTTGACCGCATCCCCCGATCAACTCCTTCTCATATTATATCACGGTCAACCATCTCTACATCATTAAAATTATCAAATCTTGACGTAGATTACAGCTATTAACTTCTGCTCACTGACCCTTTTTCAAGAAATGCTATAACACCCAACATTTCCTTAAAAATCAAATTACTGTGACTATATACTAAATAATAGCGAATGTCCTAAACATTTAATCACTATTATTAAACTGTTTATGATCTTTTTTTTTTTTTTTTTTAGGTAAAGTAGACTACATTGGTTCGTCTCACCAATGGTGGCATTTCTTTGTGGTACTCGCACTCTACTACTGGCACAACACTGGTATTAAATACATAGAATATCGAATGAACCATGGATGTTCTTTCGACCTCTCAACGTGACCTCAAGAAAAGTGGTTATATGTGTATTTATTTGGGACAATTGTATAATTTATAGAAATTGATATTTTACAGTTCACCGGTGTATCAAGCACCTGAGCCGGAAGTATAAGAAAATATTTCCTAAACATTTTAAAAATGTCCAAAAACTTAATAATTTAGTTTTAATTTCATTAAAAGTAGCCATTCAGTATCTTATACCTTTAGCTTTGTTGATACACGCTGGAATGGTATTTTTATGAAAAACGGGTGGCTAGAGTGTTATTAGGATTTATTTATCTATTGTAATTATGAATACATAGTTTAAAATTTATAATTCCTCTTCTATGCATGCGATGATTCATTATATAAGAAGAAAAATCCTAATTTTTTTACTCAAGCAATAATAAAATTACATCTAACAAAAACTGTAATTTAGAGAAATACAGTGAAGCCTCAATTAACCAAGTGTGTATTATTTATAAAACATGGTAAATAGAATGGAAATTATCAAAACAATTAAAAAAAATTATTCAAGGAAAGTCCATTCTTAGAAACAACAATTGTTGATTAAATCCATTCAAAATAGGAGGATACTAAATAAAAATAATAAAAAAAGATTTATTTTAAAACGATTATTACTTTTCATCACTGACATACATATTTATATGATAATAAAAGTTTAATAAATTATTCTGAGTCGGTAGTGTAATATACATATACATATGCTGAACCAAGAATAAAACAGAAAGCATATAAATATAAAAATCAGATTTTTTTTTTTCCCATCTTGAAAATGTAGTTTTTAGAAACTTCTTGTAATTTGAATGACTTATGGAGAGTTTATTATACAATTGTTAAAGTACTCTAAACCGAAAAAAAAAAAAAAAAATTACTGAGAATGTAATTTACACCTAATTATTCTCACTTATTTTCTCCTTATTCATTTTTTTTTTTTCAATCGTAAGATGAATAAATTATTATAATAACAATATTTGTTTAAAACTGGGAATAATCAATGTATTGATTAATCACACATTTTTATTCAAAATTCATTAAATATTTGTCATACAAAACAATCAGTTATTGAATTACTGTGTTAGTTAAAATAAAAATTTTAAACTTATAAAATTTCTGTTTTTGCTATATCATGTCAAAAAAATGAATCATGTTTAATTGAATGTTGAAAAGTATGCGATGCTACACTTCTTATGATAGCTTTCAAACTGTGAGCTCATGAAAGTTGATACATTTTTAAGTTAGCACCATAGAAAATATTTTAAAATCAGTCCTCTTTAGCATAAATTTAAAAAGTATCTATATAATCCGTGTTAATGTTTAACTGAAATTGATTATTTCAGTACAAATACTGTATTTTCATTGTTAATTTATTAGAGTTATATAATATAATATTGCTTGTGGATTAAGAAATAAACCAGAATATTTAAATGGAAAAAGTTAAAATCACAACAAATATTTATTAGAACTGTTAGTTGGCATAGCGAACTATTTTTTTATAAATAACATTTCAAATAGATTTACTTATATATAAAATAATAATAAGATATAAAAGTTAATTGTTTGATATAAAAAGTTAATAACTAGCACATATGAATTTAAAGTTAATTGCTTTATTTTTTTCTGACCATTGTTTACATTTTGTATTTCACATATTTTTTTGGCTCTGTTTGTATTAACACACCATATGCTGGTTTGGTTAGGTAAATTTTTTCAGCTTATCTCTGTTTTTTTTTTTTTTTTGCTTTTAAAACTTTTCTAAACTTTCTGTTACAGACTGGTATGTATGGTTGGTTTTCAGGAATAACGCAATAGAAAATTATTCACCAGTTTGTAATTTGTTAATTTTGTTCTGGTTTATGTTGATGAAAAAATCATTAAAAACTGAACCAAACTATAAATTATAGTAGTTTACAATTTAAAACTTTAAACTACTCTCTGTCTTAAAAAAATAAAGTTAAATGGTTTTCATGGGACAACAGTAATACAATGATATCATCATAAGATTTTTTTTTTGGAGGGGAGAGAAGGAGAGTAAGTTTGTAGTAAAAATTACTCAAATATTTGTTTTTAAAATTTATACATCTTTTGTTTTGGATAACGATTAATAAATTTTAACCATACATATTGCGCTTCCTAGATCAAAACTATATCTCTTTAGATGATAATTTATGCAGATTCTGGAAATATTTACACCAGCAAAATATACTTTTCTCATATTTTAGGAAGTAAATATATAGGTTTGACTGTTCATCTTGTGTGTTAATTCAATTTGAGCACAATTTTATCACATTTTAATGTCTTCCAATTTAAAAATTAATATTGCTTGTGATAAATAAGTTTGTTCCTTTTACTCTGTGCATAGTAGAGGACAATTGAGATGGTGGCTGAAAAACGACAAATATTAATTTTTTTTTTCGGTTTCAGTGTATTTTAAGAATTTACACATTATTTTTAGTTAGATGTATCAAAATTCTTTTAAGAGTTTTAAGAATTGTAAAACTATTGATTACAACATTTCTAATATTGACAATTCATTTTTTACTTTCTTAATCTGTATATTAACACAGATTTTTAAATTTTTGATAAAAAGTTCTTTATCATGCCTTAACTTTTGATATGCCTCATGTTTTATGTTGTCCCTTACCCATTTATCTTATATTGATATGAAACATTCACAGAATTGATTAAAAGTACTGTACAGGAAACTGGTATATAACTGGAGTATACTTGGAATAAAACATCTTTAATTTTTAGTTTAATGTATTAAATCATTAAATAAAATTTTGTTAGATTATTAGAAAAATAAAATGTGCTCATTTTAAAATATATAGAAAAAAAAACATTGGGTTGTTTTTCTAGCTTCCGTCTCAATTGTGACAATTTACTTATATACTTTTTAGATGTATCCCTGTTTCAATTCCATGTGATTTGGGAAACAAAGCTACCTTTGTGATAATAGTAGTAGTTAATAATTTTTTTTTCTTCAATAAAATGTTTCATTGAGAACAAAGAAAATTATTTTTAACTGTAAATCTATGTCGATGTTACTCCATCGTTTGACAGAAATTTTGTATTACCTTTATATTTATTGAATTAATTTTTCAGTTTATGCGACGTATAAAGCACTAAGCTGTGAAAAATGTAAAGGCCTCTTTGAGGATGGAGCTGTGATAAAATAGGTTTTCTTGTAATAAACTGTTGAAGTTATGAACCTTGTTTTAATTTTCCTTTTTATTCCTTTAGCTTAGTTTGTAATCTTCTACATAAACTATTTAGTGTAAACAGATGTTTTTGTTTGTATCAATTTAACCATATTTTTAAAAATTACTGATTATTTTACTTAATAGATAAATATTTTTCATTATCGAAATAATAAAAGTTTATCTAATAAATACTTCAATTGAAGGAAATACAGCAACTGTTCACTGTAAACAATTAATTTTGGTTGTTTCACCTAAGCGAAAATAAATTTTGTAATTATTGTTTTTTTTTTATATAATACTGCTAGTGATAATTTATTTACTACGAACACAGATTTATGGGACAATTATTTGAATAAGAAAAAGAAAAAGACAATTATTTGATTACTAATATTAGGCATTATTAAATAAATTTCTAAAAATAATTATGATTAACAAAATTCACTGTTTGGAAGAAGAGAAGCACAACTCAAAAATTATTTTTTAATATATGGAAATGTTTGTGAGCAGATAGATAGTAAATACAGAGTAAGTACTTATGTATATAGGATGCACGACATAAGAACCAGGAAACTTCACATCTATTCGTACACCTCAACCATGAAAAAAAATCTATTAACCATCATTGATTTTTTAATGATTTTGTGGAAAATTGATAAACTTTAATGTTTTTAATTAATTCTTTCCTTTTTTTTCAATTGAAATCCTCTTATCTCTTCAAAAAATGATCTTTCACAAAATCTGATAACATAACAAGAGACGAAAAATTTCCTATCAGTTTTTCTATGAATTGATCTATAAGTATCAGTTTTTCTAAAATTTCTGAAGGATCAAAAATTATTTGGCAGGAAAAATAATGCTTGAAAATTTGTTTTAATATGAATAATTGAGAGCATTATTATCATGGTTAGGTTTTAGCTGGATATACGAAGTATTGACTTTTTCCAGGAGAGATTAGTCTTCAGGTAAATCTTCTACAATATATATCGCTACTGTAAGTGCAAAAGGTGGTATGTATATTAACAATTTTCTATGTTAATTTTATTTGCGCTAAAAGTGATATTTTTTAGTGTGCAACTACAATAAATAGTCTGCTACTATGGAAAATATAATAGGAAAATAAAATATCAAATAGTACGAATAAATCATAAAGAAATAATGTTTTTTGTAAAAATACTTCATTTTTACATACAACTTTTTGCAGTAACAGTAGTGATATAATATTATCAGCCTTTAAATTGATTCGGGCTGTATAGCATTTAGATGGAAGTTTTGGGTCATCCAGAAAAAATAGATTCACAAAAATTCAATTGGGTACTTGGATGAACTTTTAATTTTTATTCATCGTTGAAGATTATAACTAAAAAACTCCAATAATTCTTGAATTTATTTATGCATATTAGCAAAGATAATTAGTGTTTAAAAAGTGATCGGAAAAGAACTATGTCACAAGAGTGGAAACTCAACTAACCCAAGCTCATACCATTGGTTATCTTATACTTATTAGTTAGTATTCTTAGCTAAAATGGTGTTCCCAGCTTCAAAACCAAACCCAACATCCAAGAAATACTTTTTTTTCTCTCACCCTCTCCTCTCTGAATAAAAATATTTAGTTTAAAATACATTTTATTAGATTTAGAAATGGAAGTTCATAAAGTAGAAATGAAATAGGCTTGGCAGCTATTCACATCACCCTACAGTGAACTCAGGCCACACAACCATAACTCCCAGATGTTCTGTTATTTCAATTTGCTAACTAAATATTAACGATTTTTAGCATATATCTTTTTTTTTCACTTGAGTTCTATTACAGCTTTAATTTACACAATTTTTTTCCATGGAAATACCAAATCAGAGATGGGACAATGCTACTCTGAGTACTGAGTATAAAGTATTTTATTCAAATACTGACTTTTTTTGAGTACCTAAGAATTTAATTACTACTTCAGTTGAAATCAAACGATTAAATGAAGCAGTAATTGAATTCTCAATAGTGATTCAATTTGAGTAAAATACTTGGTACTCTGTACTCGAGAGTTGCATTTGCCCATCTCTGTACCAATTTCCTCTAACCTAAACTATTTAAAAACTTTTACAAATTAATTTTAATGAAGTCTATTCTCCTGGAGATTTGGATTCAGAAGTCTCCAATTAATTAGCATTAATTCTGCAATTAGTACCAAAATATAGTAGCTGAGTGTGGTACTTCAAAATTCTGAGTACAGAGTTGGCAAACTTTAGATGGTCGGGTATTGTTAATTTGCACAACTCACATGACAACTATCATCGTAAAACATTACCAAGATGAATTCATCATTAATGTATGGTTGATTATCGTAAGTAATCAACTTCTTGGCCCAGTGATACTGCTAAAACGGCTCAATCCTGAAGCCTTTTCCGCATATTGGACATAGAGATATTAGATTTAATAGAGGGAATGCCGCTAGCTTTAGGAGCAGATGTGAGTCTAAATGGGCGGGTGTCCTACACATAACGTCACATATCAAAATCGATGAAGTATACTTTTAGGAGCTTTTTTTTTTTACATCAATCCAATTTTAAATTTTAAAAAAATCTAAAAAAAAAATTAAAGCTTATAAACTGTAGAAATATTCTGTGAAGAATAATCTCTCCAGGAGAAAGCTAGTGCTTTGCAAACCCAGCCTAAAACAAGCCATTTATTTTAAGCATACAATTATTACTATTACAATAAATTTTTAAACCTTATTTTCCATTCAATATCCCATGATATGAAGTCCTGGTTGAGATAGAGAGGGCATAGTATAAGAAAAATAATTATATTTTGTAATTAAATTAATAATTGTAATATATTTGGTAAGTTTGGTTATCTTTATAGTAAATGGTATTTAATTGGTTCATACTTAGTATCAGAGGGATAACCACATTATTAAAACAAATTGTAAGGTGCATGTTCATATGACATATCAATACTACAATAAAATTTCAACATCAAAATATTCCCAGTAGTTTATTATTATTATTTTAAATATTGAAGTAATAAATAAAGAACAGTTGAATAAAACTTTTAAAAAAATATACTTTATGGTATATTTGGGTAGTTAAAAAATGTCAAATAGATGGAAATGGAACTAAATTAAACCACATTATTTAGAAAAATATATTTACATTCTTTAATCATTATACCAATCTAAAAATAATAAAGAAAACGACATGACTAGGAGAAAAAATAGTAAATATATCCGTAGGCTAGCGTTACTTTGAATTGCTTGTCGAATTTGAACATTTGCATCTTTCAAATTTTCTGTTGTACCAACAAGAGTTGTAGAAATCCTTTCGATTTCGTCACTCTGCTCCATTACTTTCTCTGTGAAAACTTCTTGCAATTCTGCAATTTTAATTACTTTACTCTGAATGTCTTTCACCTAAAAAATAATAGAACTAGGTAAGAAAAATATTAACTAAAGATAACAAAGTATTCTAAATATTAGACTAAGGAAGTTCGCACCAAATGTCTATTTAAGATCTAGTGAGGTGAATTCAGGTGGCTTACTGATGCCCATAGCAGTTCTCTCAATTTCTAGCACTCATTGCTTCATCTTTATATTTGTTTACAGAGCTACTACTGCTAGTAGTTTACAGTTCAAATAGTTTGAAGAAATGAAAAGTGGGTTGAAACACTGGCAAACAATCCTATTGTTTAATTTTAACTGCCCTCACTCCTACTATTATCGATATTTATGACCACAGTCAACTGTCATTTGTGAATTTTCATACAAATTCAAGAGAAAAAGTAAAACTGGAATAATACTCAAATTATGAATATTAAGGGAAAGTTACATGGCACTTAAGTAACAATTTGAAATCACACTACGATAAGATTGATCTTTCCAAATTGTATAATGGGCATTATCCATTGCAATAAAATCATGAATCAGCTCATTAGTATATCTTGACCATAGCAGCTACCTTTCTAAAAGAGGATATAAAATTAACATAAAAAAATAAAACCCAATTTTAAGCTGTTAAAAAAACAATTCTTCCTAACATAAATATAGGTCATAGATAATAATTTTTCATTGGATCAATTACAAATACATGAGAATGGATTGATAGTTGACTGTCGTAGATATATTGGAAAGAAGTTGGTTGATATGCTCAGTCAGAGAAATAACAAAGTAAAAATAAATAAATAATATTTATTTCTAATTCCGTTGTGCTGATGTTTCGGCCTAAGTTTCAAGCCTTCATGAGGGCTAAGAAAATCAGCCTTCAGCTAAGTTCTTTCTTTCTATGACTGAATACCCCAACCAATTACTGACCAATACAAGTACAATTTATGAGTGAAAACATGTAGATTCTAAATTCAATAATAGGAGCTAAAAACAAGACATTGGGTAAAATATAAATATTAACCTCATCATTCAAGCTATTTAATTCATTGTATAGTTGCTCATTCTCCATTTCAAACATCTGCAATTCTTCCCCAGACAGATTGTTTTCTTCTGTCTCATTCACAGAAGCAAAAGTTGAATACCGCAGACGTTCAGAATCATTAACCTTCTTTTCCTCGATTTCAGGTTGTGATTTACTGCTATCTTGTTGTTTTGTTTCAGCTAAGCTGTTAGTTTCCTTAAAATCTAAATTACCTTGGGTTAATTTTGACATTTTTTGTAATTCTACAGTCAGTTTTACCCTTATTGCCTTTTGTTCAGTGTATATTTTGCAAACGGCCTTTAAATAAGACTCAATTAAGTCAAGAATGGCTCTTCGATTTTCGATTTCTTGATTCTCTTCTTCGAAATTATAAGTTTCTTTCTTGTAAGAAGAAATCAACTGGGTACAAGCCTTTATAATATGTTGGGCTTGATTATCAACTCTGTCTCTATCAAATTCAGTCATATCATCATTGTTAATAAAATTAACAGGAGAAAGATTCATGTATGACTTGCGTTTATCCAGCAGGAAATCTCTAAGCTTACTAATTTGCTCAACAAGATCCTTGAATTTAGTAATGCAAGGACATTTTTCTTTAGATTTATGAAATAAATCATTATCTTTAACGCTGCCTCCTATTGCCTTTATTTGTTTTCTTTTCTCCTTCACTGAGCACCTAAACAAGGGAGTTAAATCCATCTCCTGGATTTACAATATTATTGAAAAAATATTAAGATAGTTCTGAAACGTTTACTCGTAAATAAAGTTGCGTCATCGAGATGAAAGACAATTTTCGTTTAATATTAACATTAAAACGAACGAAATCAATTGACAAAAAAAAAAAATACAAATACACAACACTTTGACAGCATGAAACACGTCAACTTTGGGGAGGTTATATTTATCAAAATGGACACCATTATCAATAATGACATTTTAAGATAAAACAGAAGATATCTCTACAGTATAGTAAGAGATAAGGCAGTCAGTTACTATAGAATAATTTTATAAGAGGGAAAGACTACATTCAAATTGGTTTATTTCTATTTAAATACATATTATGGCGGTTTTATCAGGTTTAAAGAAAATATTAATTGCTAACAGAGGTGAAATCGCATGCAGAATTATTCGCTCAGCCAAAAAACTTGGAATTAAAACAGTTGCAGTTTACAGTGAAGTAGACTTAAATTCAATGCATGTTCAAATGGTAATTTATTCGTTTCTACTAGCCTCCCCCCCTCTCTGAAAAATCAGACTATTATTTCTTGAATTTCAAACTAATTAATGGTGTGTTTCGTCAATAAAAAAAAAATCATTCTTTTAGATTCCTAAAGACATAAGAATTATTAAATTCTTTATTCTGTTCCTTTAAAAAATTATATTTTCTTGTTCAGTTAGTATGTATTTTTCTTGAAATCTCAATTCTGATTGTATTTTATCATTATATTGTTGTCTAGTTTCTTTTTGAATAAACATGAGCGTTATAAAATTAAATTTATATTATTTAGTATTTAACTCTTATTAATAATATCAAGATTATTTTTTTAGGCAGATGAAGCATTCTATATTGGTCCTGCAAGTGCTCAAGAAAGTTACTTAAGAGGTATAATATAAATATTGACTTATTACTTTGTATTGTTAATTTTTGGAAAATAATTTATGTGAAAATAACTAAGAAGTGTAAAGCTATTTGGTTTTAAAATGGATCAATTTATTTATTAATTTTGAAATACTTGAGAAAAACATCTGAATATGTTTTTAATTATTCTTTTAAAAGTGTATATATTATGTAAGGAATAATGTTATCATTGAGTTTTTCATTAAAAAAAAAAACTTCTGTTATATATTACATAAATTGGGTGATAAAAAATTATTTAATCATTTTTTTTTATGAATATTACTCGTATTATGAATTAGTTAGTTTTATATATTTTATTTGTTATATCCATAGTTCCATATAAAACTGATCAAAATATATTTGAAAAGATATTATTCTTTAAAGTTTTAGTAATAATTTAACAATGAGGCTTATGAATTGCTATTTTTAAAAATTTTTTTTTCTTTTATTTGGTTTCCACTAATAGTGAGTTTCCTTAACCTAAAATGCTTGGATGGAATTGCTACTTAATACATTAATGTGCCTATGTTTCAGAAAGTTAGTTCCTTCCATTTCCAGAGTTAGCTAAAAAAAAAACTTTTTTACATTTCATTAAAGGATAAGAATATTATTATTATTTGATAACTTACAACTACATAAATGGTTCTTATGAGCTTTAACTAATCCCTGAAAAGGATGTTATAATTGGTTATTCATGTTATATTATTTATTTTATTTTTAATTATAGTATAAACAGAAAAGTAATAATCATGGTTTTTAAAATAATTGTAATTTAAATATTGCTATTAATCCTATAAGATTTATTATCTCATATGAGCCATTATAATAGTCATTTTTATTAAAATGTATGGCTCTAGTTCTTTCATTGAGAAACTTATATTATTATAATTATTAAAAATAAATATTTTTTTGCTCCTGGTAATATACAATAACAGAATTACTTAATGACTATAACATACCCTGCTGATAATTTTGGTTTTTAAATTGGTTTTTATATTTTTAAAATGACATCTAAATCAGAACATTACAATTTCAGTCTCATTTATTTGTTTTCATAATATTTTATTTTATTATTAATGAAATATTTTCAGCCCTTTATTTATATCCTTAACTTTTAGTGTTAATTTTTTTTTTCATTAAAGGAAATGAAATTATTGAAGTTGCAAGGAAATCTAATACTTCAGCGATACATCCTGGTTATGGGTTTTTATCAGAAAATGCAGAATTCGCTGAACTATGTGCAAAATCAGGTATAATATTTATTGGACCTCCTCCATCAGCCATCAGAGATATGGGTATCAAAAGGTTAATAAAACACTTTTTAATTATTTCAGTATTAATTATGACAAAAATTCCTATCAAGTTCACAGAATTCTGCTAACCTCTTTTTGAAAAAATTCTTCTTGAAATAATAAACAATCTTATATATCTGAGGAACTTTGTATGAAAATGTTTGTGTTTGGCATTGTTGTCAAGTACGATTCCTGGAATCAATGTGGATGTTACAAAAACATAATCTTTACAATAACATAATCTAATTTTATTTATTTATTTAATTGTATTTATCGAAATTGACCGATGACACATGTCTATTTTTAGTTTAGCCAAAGAGTTGATGGGTAACGCTGGAATCCCTATAGTACCAGGATATCATGGAAGTGATCAGTCAAATGATAGGCTTAGATATGAAGCTGATAAAATTGGTTATCCTTTGATGATTAAAGCTGTGAGAGGTGGAGGAGGAAAGGTATGATAGTATTTATTTTAACAACTATTTTAAAAAAAAATATTTACATTCATATTCATCAAGGTATATGTATAATAGTATGGGAAGAAATCAATTTATTTCTATTTTTGCTCAAAGTTTTGGTTTAATCAACCATTAAAATTATTATGATCTATACTTATAAAATACATTATTCCTAAGGAGTCTTTCACCATTAGTATTTATATTAATACATCTATATGTTACCTGTTTTATTTTTCATCAAAATATTAATTCATTATACTATGTGCTCATTTCATCACATTTAACATTAAATTATAAGTTCAAATTGTCTGTTAATTTGTTATATTAAAAATAGACACTACCACCAAGCTCTGAAGTTCTTGTTTGAATGCCAAACTGGACCATCTCTTCTCCCATTATATTATATACAGTCGACTATTAAACATTTAATTAAAAATTTCTATATAAATAATTAATTATGTAACCCTTATTTCACAGGGCATGAGAATTGTGAAATCTGGAAATGACTTCTTAAATGGATTAGATTCAGCTAGAAGAGAATCGCTTCGAGCTTTTGGCGATGAAGATGTTCTGCTTGAAAGGTAATAAATGATAAGTTGTTTTTTTTGTTGGCATTACAGACACCTTAACAAGCCCGCTCCATTTTTGCTGTATTGGGCTATTTCTTTCCATTTATCTGCGTGCAGTTCTGTTGTATCTTTGTTTATTCTATCTATCCATCTGCTTTTTGGCCACCTGGTCTTTTGCCTTATATTGAGGCATTAATTGTTACATAGAGGCTTCCAGATGGATTGCTATGAGCTGCATGCCCCACTCATCTTAACCTCTGTGCCTTCATATCATGGGACCAGTTTCTGTAAGCAGTTCTTTATTGGTATTTCTTCTCCATGTGTTTGTATTCTGATCCCAGATAAATGGTAAATGTGTGTCAAAATTTACTTAAAAAGTAATAATATAATTGAAGCATAAATACCACGTGTAAGTGTTAAATACCTGGGACCAGGTGTATTTTATTTGTTGTTTTTTATTTTTTATTTATGTTTATACATTTTTCTCAGTTTTTTATCAGAAATAAATCTAATGGCATTTGCAACAGCATCATCAATGGTATCCATTTTTAGTGCAGTTTGTATTTTTGTGAACTCTATGAAATAATAAAAATAGAAAATAACTTTATTCTGGGACAAAGCCCCTTTAGAATAACAAAATAGAACATAATTAAAATACTACATCTGGCCAAAATAAAACAATAATAAAAAAGAGAAAGTAAAGAAAATATTAGTTAAACAAGCTATATACAAAAAAAACAAAAAACAAAAATCTATATACAAAACACTTAAAACTATGATAAAACACTTAAGACTATGTACAGTAGGAAAAATTATAATTATACTCTTTTGAAAAATAAAATAATAAAAAATACATTGAGTTCTTCTTTAAAATGAGGTGTGTTTCTGCTAACAAAGAAAAGACAAAGCTGACAATATAAAATATCAGTTTATTTAAATAATGATTAATATGTAATGTAGTTTATAATAATGATTAATATTTAAATAATACCATGTAATGTCGTTCCATCGAGTTGAAATCATTTACAGATCCTTTGAAATAATGGAAAGCTATGACCAAATGAGTACATTATCATAGATAGATAGATAGTTTATTTTATTTGTCTAAGGAAATTCCTGTACAAATAAATATAATGGTATATTTAACAATGTTAGATCTTGAGTCTAGTACTGCATTCAAACATAACATTAACAATGTCTACAGCATTAAGTATGACTAATATAATAACAGATTAGTAAACGATATATATATATATATATATATATATATATATATATATATATATATATATACATAACAATTAGTAAAACATTTTTTATTGAGTACATTATCATCATTGAGTAAAAATCACTTTGTGGAATCAGGAAATCAAAATACTTATTGATTTTGATAAGTGAAACTTTAGAGGTTTTAAAAGCAAAGTATATTTTTACGGCGTTGATGGCCCTAGGGTTTTACGCCTTAAAGCCTAAACAAACAGGTATATTTTTAGGGATGTTCTTAGCGCACTCTTCTATCATATTCCATTTATTACTAATCAATACATAACAACAACTAATCGATATAGCTTCTATATTTTTTAAAAATGTTATTATTTTTTTTTTAAATATGCTTTCACTAGATACATTGAAAGGCCTAGACATGTGGAAGTTCAAGTATTTGGCGATAAACATGGGAATTACGTCCATCTCTTTGAAAGGGACTGCAGCATTCAACGTCGTCATCAAAAGATTATTGAACAGGCCCCTGCTGTAAGTTACTTATCTTATTATAATACACTGTCAATACATCTAAACATATTTCACGTTTAGAATAGCAAGTTTATATTAATATGTTACGAACGTTTTGATAGCCTCTGATCGATGACTGTAAGCGAAATGAGCTTGGAGGTGCTGGTGTTAGTGCCGCCAGGGCTGTAAACTATGTTGGAGCAGGAACAGTCGAGTTTATTTTAGATACGAAAGATTCTACCTTTTACTTCATGGAAATGAACACAAGACTTCAGGTATCAGATAGATTTCTATAGGCAAGCATATAGAGTATTTATAAATATGAGAAGGAGTTGGTCGGGAAGGGGAGTGGGGGTGCGGTTAAATAAATACTAAGTTTTTAAAAAATGGTATTTTTAATTGTTTCGCCTGGTTGTCAATTAAAAATACTATTTTTTAAAAATTTAGTATTTATTCGACCGCACCCACCCAACCAACTCACAGTCAACCATCTCTACATCAGTATTTATAAATAGGTATTTTATATATAAATTAATTATTCCGTTCATTTTATATTTTTTTAAAGCTATTCATCAAGACATTAATTTTATATTGTTTTTGTTATAATCAATTTTAGAAAGAAAGTCTTTTAAGTGCTGATTTTAAATTAAAAGTTAAATTTATAAATTATTATTGTAAAGTTGACTATTATTATTCACAAACATACCTAAACATAACACAAACTTTCCTAAACAAAACATAAACAGTATAATAAAAAATTCTATAAAAAATTGTTAAAGCACCATGGTATATTTCAAATAACACTATATACAATTCACAATATTTCTCACTTCTTCTTCAGTGCTTACTATTTATTTTCAAGTTAATTTATTATCAGCCATATTCAATTGAAAAAATCAAAATTTGAAATAAATTAGCTAATATTACTTAAAATAGGTCCTCATATAATATTGGGAAACATCATTGTATATGTTTATAATAAATAGTCTTCCCTTACTTCTATAAGAATAACCAGTCACTGAATAGAAATGAGATGGATGACATGTGGGTGACTCATGAACAAGGTAATTTTACCTTATTTGAATCATTTAATAGGAAAGAATGGAGTAATAATAATGTTGTAAAATAATTAAAGGTGAACATGACTATAATAAGGGATTTTATTATTAGTAGACGCTTGCACTTCGCATAAGTGAAAAGGACAGGTACATGATGGGTATTTTAGATATATAATAAGAATCTTTATAATTTGAAATATGTTAAAGTTAATATATGATTGTAAATTGAAAACATTTTTTAGACTTGAAAATGGCTCGACGAGCCGAAACGTCGTAACTGTGATGAGTAGTCATTAAGTTGAAAATTTTTTTAAAAAATTGGTGTAAATATGGCTGATAATAAATTAACTATATACGATGATTTAAATATTTCTAAAGTAAACTCCTACACCCACAACAAATACACTACATTTCACTCTTCAACTCAAAATCATCTCAATTCAATTGTTCTTTCAATTTATTCCTTCCTGTTACTTGTTCAATGTCATTTAAAAAGAAACTGTTCCTTTATCGATAACTAAATTAATGTCATTACCAAGAAAATTCAAAGTAAATAATCAGCTACATCAAACTTGCTAGATGTGCTACTTCGCACAGTTGCAAATAGAGTAAAAGATTAAAAATAAATATAAAAAACTTAAATATTATAACAGCAATAATATCCATACAAAAAATTTGTTAAAAAAATTATCGTAAACAAATCAAAATTAACAGTTATAATTTATCATATTTTCTTTATCATTTTTATTTGCATGTTTTGGGAATGCTTTGTTCCATCTGAAATTATATAAATAAATCATTGAAGATTTTATAATGAGCCAGTGTTTTACAATTATTTAAAATTAATTTTTAATTTAATTTATATAATTTTCTATTTAAAAATCTTAAATTTTAGACCTGTGGGCAAGAAGTGAGGGGAAAATAATGAATGAAGAAAGATCAATACTTATAACTTTAATACAATATCTATGAACGTTTTTTGTTTTTTTTAATCACAATACTTTTCTGTGTTATACTAATAAATTATATAATAATTTCATTTTGAAATAAAGGCCACAATTGAATACCGAGTTTCAGTGTTTTTTCTTTATTAAAAATAAAATATATATACATTGGTATCACCCCATTAATTAATAGACTTTAAGTGAATGTTTGGTAACGATGAAAGTCTGTCTAGGTTGAACATCCAGTAACCGAAATGGTAACAGGTGTTGACTTGGTCGAATGGCAACTACGAGTAGCAGCAGGCGAGCCTATACCTTTAAAGCAAGAGGAGTTGAAATTATCAGGGTATGCGGTAGAAGCTAGAATATACGCTGAAAATCAGGATTTCATGCCTACTGCTGGAAAAATTGAAGCTATATCTCTACCTCAGGGAGAAAACGTTCGTGTAGAAACAGGTGATTCATATAATTATTGCGGTTTTAAAAATAAATTTGTTCTTCAACTTTCTTGAAAGTAAATTTAAAAAAAAAAAAACATAAAAACATTACCATATCTAAGAACTGTTTTGTACATAGGTGTGAATGTGTTTTATTTGTTTTGTTATTATTCGGCTGATCTGTTGTTTTAATTATTTTGTATATTACTTTATCTTTTTATTTATATATATATATATAATATATATATATATATATATATATATATATATATATATATATATATATTTTTTTTTTTTTTTTCTTTTTCCTTTCTTATGTACATATTGTGTGAATGAATACTATAGCCCTAGTACCAATGCCCTTCAGTGTGGCAGACTGTATTAATACTCAATAAAAGTTTTAAGAATGAAAAAAAAAAAAAAGAACTGTTACGCTAGTTCATTAATAGTTGCAGATAAAGCTCCCATATATTATGAATTACTTATGATTTCTCTGTTATTTCCATTACTTTTAGTTTATACCAAAGTCCTAAGTCACTATATTTAGGAATAATATAGTCACTTCAAGAAAATATTATTAAATATTATTTGATAATAAATCTGATAATTGAGTGTGATGTGGATTACATCATCGTCTTGTAAAACTAAATTACTGTTAGACAAGGATGGTTCTTCCTTATTAAGTAAGTGGGCAAACTCAATAAATTAATTTCTGCATATCCTGGTCATTATTCATCCCTATTAACTAAAATTGGTCAAGAAAGTAGGAAGAGTAGGTACATAAGTATTTTACATATAAATATAAAAAGAGTATTAAAAAATAACACAATGATACAAAAACAAAAAAAAAAAGATTTACTTCTGGTCAGAAATATTACATTAAATAATAGAGACATAATAAAACTTGAGTATTCTAATGATATAAGCAAAATCAAAAAATTGAAACTATTTACAAAATACTTAGAACTACTTACAATACTAATGAGACATTAAACAAAACAATTGCGACTTAAAATTTAAAAAATAAAAAATAGTAAAGAAATATAAAAGACAGAAAGGAAAACAATAAATGAAAAATGTATTCCTCTAATAGATGAGTACTAATTAAAAATAGATAGAATAAGATATAAAGGATGAAGAAATAAATATTTATATATTCTCTCTTAGTGAAATTTTTTTTTTTTTTTTTTTTTATTATTTCAATGGAATTTACAACTGTATTACATAGAGAATACAATAAGTAAATGAGAAATTTGTAACATGGCATGTACAACATGAAGAGAAACTACCCATTGGTAGAACTCAAATTAAAGTTCTATATTAGAAGATCCCGAGGCCATCTTCTTTTCAGACGCCTCGGAGGGTTATCAGGGATCGAGGAGGAAGCAAGGTTTGAAACGAGAGGATTCGGATGATTCTGCAGTTTGTTATGGAAGGAAAGGTATCTGGATTGGGCCAGATCGGAAACATATGGAACATTAAGGTCTTTATGGATGATTTTATTTGTGACAAAGTAAGGAGCATTGAGGATTTTACGAAGGATTTTGGATTGTAAGGATTGGATACGAGAGGAATTCGATGGTTTAGTGGAGCCCCAAAGCTCAATTCCGTAAGTCCAAATAGGTCTTATTATTGTCATATATACGAGTCGTTTATAATTGATTGAAAGCTTAGATCGTTTGTCTAGTAAGTGCTGCAGTAGTCGAAAACGTCGGGCGGTTTCTAGTCGTTTCAGTCTGGTATGGGGGTTAGTGAAAATTAAAACAAAATTATAACAAACATAATAAACATAGGAGAAATTAATGCCTTCGAAAACTTTATATAACATTTCTCAGCATAAAAAACACTTTCATGATTTCATGGTTTAATATGTACAGTGAGAATAATTCAATTCTATCATTTTTTTTTCTTTTAAATTTACCTTGAATTTTTTCTTTTCTAGGTGTAACCAGTGGTGATGAGGTAACTGTACATTATGACCCGATGATTGCAAAGCTGGTAGTCTGGCATCCTGATGGGAAAGAAGTATTTTCAAAAATGGAGAACGCATTGAAGAATTTTAATGTAATATTCAAATAATATATCAATGGAATTATTTTCCTTTAAATTAAATTGAATTATTGCAAACTTATGCAAATTTCCTGTTAGATAGTTGGAATTGAAAACAATGTGGATTTTCTTAGAACGCTCTGCTCAAACGAGAAGTTAATTGATGGAAATGTTCATACAGGCTTCATTGAAGAGAACAGAGAACATTTGAATTCATCACCGCCAACTAATGAAGTAGTAATCCAGGTATACTCAAGAATTAAAAATCTCTTACTTACTTTTATTTTACTATTTGTATATTCTTTATATCCAGATCAGCTTAGTGAGCCATACATGAGTATTTTAACAATATTAAATTTTTAACAGTTGGCGTGGTGGAGATATAGTTTCATACAAAAGATCCCCAACTAAAGAAACATAATGTTAAATAACTATGAACTGGTTTAAATTTTGTAAAATAAATTTATTACGATAATAAACTAAAGAAAGCTATAGTAAAAAATATATAATTGAAAAAAAAAAGCTGTCAAAAATTTAAAATAGTATGGAATTCATATTAGAATGTATAGCCTCTGCGTTTTCTCAGTTTAGTTATATCTAATTTCATAGATTTATTTTTTAAATTCCATTTCAGGCAGCTATGGGATTGATATTATATGAAAAAAGTAGTTTAAAACTTCAACCCGGCTTTGATAAGAATGATCCATTCTGCACTTTAGGTCCTTTTAGAATTAATCACAACTATAAAAGAAGCATTAAATTCAATTGTGCTAACAAGGGTATGTGTTCGAGACAAACAGTTCATATAGTATTTCTCAAAAATAAACTTTTTTTAAATCAAATTTTTTTTAGAATATACAACTGAAATATCATTTGATAATGACGAATGGTATCATGTAACGATAAATAACCAGGAGACAGTTCAAGTTCGTGGTGAAATCAGCAATAACGACTCATTGATGAATTTGAAGTTGTTCACGACAAAGAAAGTGAAGCAAAGCAAAATCGGCATTACAAGTGATGAAATATATGTCTTCTGTGATGTAAGTATGACTGAAGTATTTTAAGCATTTTTAATTTTCATATATTAAAAAAAAAAAAAAATCATAAAATGTCTTTTAAGGATGGAGATTACAAATTCTCTTTATTAAAAGATGAAGATTTAGAAGATGACAGCTTATCAGTAGAAAAAGGTGGAGAAACAGTTTCTCCGATGCCTGGCATCATTGAAAAAATAAACGTTAAAGTAGGAGATTCCGTTAAAAAAGGAGATAATGTCGCTGTAATAATAGCAATGAAAATGGAGGTGAGTAAGTTTGAATAGATTATGTTAATCAGGTGTTATAGTTTTAATTTAAATAAATTATAACATATCGAGAGCCACACTGCAAAAGACAAAATTATTTATAAGACAAAATAAACCGTGTACGGTAGGATGGGATAGCTTTGGGACTGGGTGCGTAACTTTGGGATAGCAGGTTAAATTTAGTTTGTGACGATTCCATGATGGATGTACTGTTGGTTCAGTCTGCAAAAACGTACTTTGTGTAGGCATGTACACTTTTTTACTCATAGGCTTGTGCCTAAAGAACTGCGAACATCAGATTATCTAAGTATTAATATCGGCCATGAAGAAATTAGCTTCTAATAGGAAATGGCCTTCAATGCCTGATGAAATTCACTATTTAAAAGGACAAATCTTCACAAACCCGCGAGAAATTTTCACACTGAAAGAGCTGCAAGTTTACAGCGATCTCTTGGCTTCAGTTAACAAAAACTAAATTGTATGAAGTGTTAGAATAATGTTTGTTAAGGCCTAACTGTTTTAAAAATTATGATTTGCAATATTTTTGTATCATTATTACGAATTTATTGTTCTCATGTACTATTATAGTATTATGGTATTGTTGGATACAATCGGTACACACTCACTTTCCTTGTCATTTCTTATGTAAATAATGAGCCTATACAATATCGTGGGGTAACATTGGTACAAAATCATGTTTTCTGCCGTTTCTAATGGAGATAATGCACTGTACCAATTTTACTGCAATCAATTGGGTAAGATTAGGACAAATAAAAAAAATTTCTAGTAAAATATTCTTATTTATAGAGTAATTGTTCTGCCATATTTTGTAAGAGGAAGACTGTCCTTACATTTTAATAATTTTTTCAGCATTTTAACTTTGAAAATAAAGATAGAAGCAGATGAAAATTTTGAAAAGTGTCCCAAAGTTACTCTATCGTACTGTATTTCTTATTTTATGAAGTAGATTTTCCTTTCAACTTTTATTACAAGTTTAGGAAGAAGATGTAATGTTCTAAATAACGTCTTTAATTTGTTTTTATGAATACGTCCAAAGCCAAGATTAACCGTGTAAGTTCAAAACCGCACATTCTATCGAAATTATACTTATAGGCTTTTGCAGTGTGGCTGATGATATGTTTTTGAGGCCTCAATGGATGATATTAAAACATTACCTTAGCAAACTTGGATCAGAAGCAGTCTCAGTTGAATTCAGTCCTGAATTGGTTGAAATTTATTTCATGGTAGACCCATGGTATTAATCTCAACCTTTTCACTTTGGATATTGTTACCTGTAGAACAACCTCAACCTGATGTTCTTGCCCTAGTTGGAATACATAACAATGATAAGTCCCAAATAAGCAAACATCTGGCAAAATTTTATATTTTCTCAAATAAAATATTTATAAGTAAATGTTAAAATGTTAATGATGATTTATTGAGTATCATGAACCCCCCAAGTACATTTGTTGAGATAGGTTGATAAAACATTTTAAAAGGGATTTTGCACGTTTTCATAAAGAGTGAATCACAACTGAGAAAGTGCATGTTTCATCAATACAAATAAATAGTAGTCGGACAGAGCCAATTATGGTGAATAAGTCCCTCCCCCTCCTTTTAATTAATAAATAATAAATAAAGCCCCTCTATTCAATCAATCTTTCCCAAATGGATGCTTTGATTGTTTTCTTCACTAGGTTTTACTGTGTGTGTGTGTGTTTGCTGTGATTGTGTATTATCATGAAGCATTTTCACTTCACTTATGAAGCAATTTAATTTTTTCAAAACCAGTTTATGTTGTCTTTTTTAATATTCTGGAATTTTTCCAGGCAAGAGAACCAGTTTTTGTCAATAGCGTTCAATATTAATGGTTTCATCAGATTTTAGCAGCTTTTAATAGATCACACCAAGGTTCTACGTTTTCGACAGTCGAAATTACCACTTTTGAATTTTTTAAACCACTCAACACTATGATTTTCCTAGAGCATACTCACCATATGCTTCAACAAGCATTCGATGTGGTTCTGCAGCAGTTTTCTTTGAAGAGTAACAGAAAACTAATGCTGTTCCCAAATCACAGTAAATAGGAACAAAACTCAACATGCTTGACACTATTAAAATTATGTTGTTATATGAAACGTTTACTGTTTTGAGTTGAAAATCTTTGCCAGCTATCAAAGAAATGGTAACTACATTAAAAAATAGAGTCATCTACGGGCGATTCCATTTTCCTTTTTGCATACCTGGTATGCAAATAAAAAAAAATTTGTTTTTTCTTAAAATGTTATTTTTTATTTTATTTTAAATGTTATATTTTATTTAGCATTGGTGAAATAAACAGACAGTTCCAATTTTTATAGCTTTTTGATTCGCTTTAAAAAGAAATTTTCTATTTGGCTTGGAGCGGAATCATGAATTGTTTTTAGTTTTTTTAAAAGCACATTTATTTATTAACATTTTTTTTTTCAGTACATAATTAAAGCTGAAAAGGATGGAAAAGTGGCTTCAATACATTTCAATGCTGGCGATAATGTTGCGAAAAATGTTCCTATCTTAACTTTAGAAATCTAAGTTATTTTATACTATAATATACATTGTAAATTGGAAGATTGATCAAGAAAATGAAACATAAATTGTGTCTTGTAATGAATGTTTTTAAATACATATTTTTAATAAAATAAAATTTTATTTTTTCCTTAATTTATTTTATTTTTTTCATAAGTTTTATATAACTGAAAAAGAAGATGTCTTCATGTGAGAATTCTCATCTTGTTGTTCTTCTAATTAAGATTCTTGAAACTTCACAAGTCTAATTTAAGAATTTACCAAATAATATGCAAATAATTTTTTATTTAACTATATAATAAAATATAAATTACTGCTCGAGATCAAGATTTGAGATCCAATCCTACTTAACATATATGTACCCTATATACTTATAACTTTTGGAAATATATTCAAATCTAGCCTAAAACTTTGATAAAAGTATCGATTGTCTGAGAAGTCTTTGATTTTAATCGATAAAATAAGTCTATAATGTTGTAATTGTATGTTAATTAAATTTTTATTAAGACTTTCAGTAAGTTTTTTGGGATATTGCAATGTTTTCTGTGGTAAGGTATCATAAGTTTGTTTATATTACTATATCTTGTAATTCTGTAGTAACTCTATATTATGATATTTCATTGTCTCAGTTGTTTCATTTTATTTTATAGTATATAAATTACAAAGGTATTAACTTTAAATTTAAAAAAAGAAAGCAGTGTAAAAAGATTTCACACCAGGATATAACACACCTGGGAGGAATGAGTAAAAGACTGTTTTGCTAAGAGAGACCTACATTGGAACAACAAAAAATTGGTTAAGTATTGCAGAACTTGGTTAAGGTTTTATATAAATGTACCTCACGATGAATTAGTGAATGGTTGTGCTGATCATATTTTTTTAAGATAACAACAGAAGGTGAAGAACAAAATATATTTATTTGTGGCTTTGGTTCCATAGGGATAATTATGGTATAGAAATCATCTTCTATGTGTTCTAGCTATTGTAATCACTAAAAATCTATAACTTAAGGCAATTTAAACTTAGGTGTAGTTGATATAACCTGAGAAACATAGATATCATATTTAACAATATCAAATATTAATGCTTAAAATGAAAAAAGGTAATTAATATTTATCCTTTTCTTCTATAAGCTTATCCAAGTGCTGATTGATGAGGTGAAGAAAAATATAAACCGGCTTGGAGATTGGTGCTTCAAAAGTAATTTAATTTTATCAATATCATATTATCCAGTGGTTGTTATGAAATTTAAACAAATGAAAAACAAAATTAAAGAAATGTTTATGTATTATGAGCATAATTATGCTTTATTTTTTATGTTTATGAGGGAATTTGAATAATGTTGTGAAGTGAAATAAAGCCTGCGAGGAGGGAGGGAATGTAAGGTAAGTGTTTTTTCAAAGGATGTGAGAGGCGCATAGGAAAAGTCCTTGCATTGGAGCTCGAGTAACCATCTTTAGTTGTACCAATGATAATATCCAGCTAATTCTAATAGTTTAACATATGCGTTAGCTGATAACCATAATTAATTCATCTGTTATAAATAAATAATAATTTTTTCACCAATAATTTGTTTATTTATTCTCTGAATTCCTCAAAATTTATTTTTTAAATTTAATATGTTTATATTATAAGTCTTAAGAACCTTAAATTCTAAACATTTATAAAATCAATTATAAAAAATATCCAAGCAATGTATCATATAATACAAAAGTTAAAGAGGAAAAAGAAGTATTTGAAATAGGAAATCATCAAGAATATTTTTTCAATTATACCAAAAAAACAACACAATAATATAAGAATTTTTACAATACAGGAATCAAGGAATGTCACAGGTACTCGAAACTACAATTCAAAGTTGAAAAATTTTATTTATTTTTTATAGGACATTATTTATTTTAAATTAATACAATGTCAAAGTGTAAACAAATAAAATGAAATTCAATTACATCAAACAATGAAAGATTTTCTGACATATTAAATACATTTGTAGAATTACGTAATTAACATTATTTACAACAAAAAATTAAATTATGCCTCTGAGAACAGGATTAACAAACTTTCTATAAATAAATGAGCCCACATAATCTATAGCTGTCAACCACTGACCATAATCGACAAAAATTGATGAATATCATCACTGAAACAAAAAATATAACAACTTTAAAACATACTAGGCTTATTGGATGAATGATTTTGAACAATGTGAGTGTTCAGTGTAAAAAGTATTGAAAAACTCCTGAATAAATTAAAATTTCTTGTTATTTTAACTAAACTGCACTTTACTTGTGCAATAAGAAGTAAAATATTGTAAAAGTAAGGTCTTCATGTAAGTGAAAAACCGATTTGTAGAAATATCAAGCTAAATTTCTTACTATTATCAACATTGGAGAGATGACGATAGAAATACATATGTGTTTGTCATTGTAGCTATGACCAACAGTAAAGAGACAATGTCTAATTAAATTGAAAAAATGAAAGAAATACATATAATTTTGTAATGCATAAATGTCTCCAGGTTATAATTTAAAATATGTAAAAAAACTTACAAAGATTTTCTTGATGTCTTCACTATATTTACTTAATTTTCTGTTTTAATTTAAATATTTGAATAAGTATTGTGAAAAACATTGCCAGATTAAAGTCTGAAGGAAATCCTCGAACAAACAATTATTTTTAATATATAAACAGGTGCAGTTCATATCATCTTTTTGATACGACCTCGAGTTAATATTCACCATTTTATAGTTTGTCCAGTTAAGAATAAATTTTAAAAAATAGATTACATTTATAAAACAACATTCACAATCTATCACCAAATAAAGCCAATTCAAATCTAATTTTATATCTGTATTTATCTTCATCTATACGTACATTTCTTTTTGGTGTAAGCTTCAAAACAAATATTTTCATTTTTACACGCTAAAACTTATTTATAACATTGATGTGATAATTAAAGTCATAGTTTATTTTATATTTGAAATTTTCAAGTCCTTTGAGACCATAGATCACTCAGAATCAAGTGCTGGGAAAATTATTTTATTCCGGTATAAATAGTAACACATTTTAAGAACAATACCACATTTTAAAACATATTATTTACTTATTAAACATTAATAAATGTTTAAACACTTTAACACATTTATTATTCTTATATTTCGTTTTATTTCCATAGATAATTAAGTCCATGAGTGATCAAAAGAAAATACAATGAATAAAGCACTAAAAATAATTAATTACATATAAATGATCATGGTTGGATTACAGGGATCCGGAAAATCATAAATATTACTAATAAATCGGTTATTTACAGTAGTAGTTAAAACAACTGCCAAAAGATAGCAGCACCAATCAAGAAACCTTTAAAAATAACAGTTTTAGTAAGCGCCGCAAGAGGCCAGCACTATCCAGACATGCATTACCGAGCCTGAATCCGAGCGAAAATTTTTAATTTTGTATTAGGATAGTGGGAGGTCAAAGGAGCTCACCTAGTAGGTATGGTCTAAGTGCACGTGCACTTGAAGTTCTAGCAACTGCCGCCAGGAAGCAGCACTAACAATCAAAACAAGAGCTTCATCGAGTGAGCTCCTTTGACCTCCCACTATCCTAATACAAATTTAAAAATATTCCGTAGGAATTCGCCTTCGAATATTTCGGACTATTTTTTTTAGGTTTCTTGATTGGTGCTGCTATCTTTTGACAACTTTTAAAACTAATTTTTTTTTTTAAATTGTACATTATTAAGACAAATTAGACAATTGGAGAGTTATTTGAACAGTAAATAAAATAAAATTATTTCCAAATAATACGATTTTGATTAAATTCATGATCATCTTATTTTATTAGTTGTTTTAATGTTTGAATTCAATTATTTCATCTGCATTTTGGTTTTAAATGCTGAAAATTCAGGAAATGTGGTATTTTCATTAAAAACAAATTTCGCTTATATAATAAGAGTAATGAAATCTTCACTATTGTCTTCAAACTAAAAAAATCTTTCTGCCAAGAGGTATATTGAAAAAATTATGAATTTGGACAATGATATTCGTTTGATTTGGTTGAAAAATTGTTTCAACAATTTCAAAAGTAGTTTGTACTTATAAAGTGTAGTAAATTACCTATAATATAGAACATTTGAGATAAAATCTGGCAAAGGTATGGAATTATAAACTAATATAACACAAATTATGAATTCGGATAATGATATTGGTTTGATTTAGATGAAAAATTGTTTTAATAATTTTTGAAGTAGTTGTTACTTATGAAGTGTGGCTATTAATCTATAGTATAAAAAAAATGGGATTAAATCTGGAAAAAATATAGAATAACTTTTCTGATTTCTAAAAAAAATGCTTATATGCTTATTATATACGCTTTTCATTTATGGTACTGTATAAATATAAATCCATGCTGTTTCAAGCTTAGTTCAAGCTTCTCCAAGAGTCATTTCCAATGCAGTCTCAACCTAGTTTAGAGAAAATTATAAAAACCTTCAGCTTCAGAAATGGAAAAATGGGTGATTTCATACAATAAAAAAAAGAAGAAACTTTGTGGGATCATAGAGGTGCATTGTGATGCATTTATTTGGGAATGGTACAATTTTTAAATAACTCTTCATCATATAAGACCTTTTTGGAAGTCATCATTATTGAGGCTTTTACTTAAGTGATTATTTATTTACAATGATAATTTGTATGAGTAAATGATATAAATTAAATTAAATACAATCCAGGAAGGTTTAAATTCTTGTGATTAACAATTAATTTTGCAATCATTTTACTATCTTAGTTTCAATAAAGTTTATATTCTAGCATAAGGTAGATAATTGTTTTGGCTCAAGGACCACAAAGTGGAATTGGAAATTAGTGGGGGCTACTTTATTTAAACTTAATTATATAAGGTGAAGATTAGTTTTCATTAATAAAAATTGATTAGGGATCAATATAAGGTAAAATTTGAAAATATATTTTTTCTTTTTCTTTACATTAATTTTATTTATTTCATTTCAGATTTTTGTAAGAATGTCTGTTCTGCATCTGCCACATGAAAATCCCTCGATTGAAGAACTTAAGAGAAAATTTCAAGAAGAATGTGTCATCACATTTGAAGACTTAATTTTATACATATAAATTATA